AGTCGAAGCCAAAAGCAGCATCAATAAGGTCCAGTGTGCGAGCTGTGACTGTTACAGTGAACTTTTGGTCGAGGATCTCACTGTACAGCTCTCTGTTAAACAGCTGCGGCTTCCAGGTTTTGCGCAGTCTTGTAGAAAGCTGGTGTGACAGGATAAGTCGTCTTCAAGAAACAGTCTCATTTATCCACTAGCATTCACATAAAAGAACCAAAATCATCAATATTCAGTATTACTGTAGTTCTCTCTTCGGTCTTACCTTGTCATCTTTAGCATATCTAAAGCCAGATATCCAGCCTTCTCCACCCCAGAGTCCGCTCTGTGATTCTGGCGGATGATAGACAGGGATAGGCACATCCTGCACTCGCTCTCTGTGTCCAGATTTAGGACTGAGTCTGTATTTGACACCCAGAGGTCTCCAGTGCACAGGTGAAGGAGGGGCGCTGTCCTGCAGGGAGCACAGGTAGTGCTGGGGTAAACGGGCGTAGATGCCCTTCTGCAGCTTCAGGGCTTCCCAGATTTTTGGTGGATACTTGTGTAGAGGCATTTTATTAGACAAAACCTTAGAAAGAAGGGTATAGAGTACACAAACATATAATAATTATAGTAATAATACTTTAATAATAATACTAATAATACATAGTAATATAAAATAGGGTGCAGGGTAAGAGGTTAATAGTAATATAGAATAGTACGTTAATATATACAAATAATATAACATATATACACTATAAATACACACATGTAGTAGAGTAAAACTGTAAGCTAGCTGATAAGCTACCGCCAAAAATGTAAATATACGCTTTATAATCTAAAAATGCAACGCTAATAACGATAAGAAAAAGGCTTGTATACAGATCAGCGTTCTTACCGGGGAATAACGCGAACAGAAGATGTTTCATTTAAGTTTACATGATCAGTGTTAGCCTGCTAGCCTCTCAGTCAGCACACGCTGTAAAGCTACCCAAGGGCACCACACGTCCTTTCCTGTGACAGACACCAGCGCTTACTGCGCTGATTGGTTGTTTGCACGGCCGAGCTTCCGGGGGTTTAACAGTAGTAATGTTCTCGAGGGGGTCTAAAATAGTTCAGATTTTAATAGTAATTTGTTAAAAAGCTAGTTGTGTCGCATATCTCCTCCTCAGCCTACTTCTCATGCGCCCGAAAGGTGGAATTGAACCACTCTGCCGCTAAGCGGCTACAGGTTTGAAGCCTGCACCCCGGACCACCGAGGTTCATCCGGGCACTTGTTAAGAGTGAGACTGCGTCAATATATAGGTCTCTCTTGCGCTATGTGTTACATCTATGGTGAGTGTTATTTATGAACCTGTGTTTAAACAGCATATCATGATGACTTTATGATATATTGTTGCCCGCCAAAGTATGAAGTTTAAGGAAACACGAAATTTGCAGGAATTCTAAATCAAAGCCAGCACGGCGCCACATGCAAATTACTTACTTGCTATTGGTCCAAACGTAGAGCGGAGCTTTACATACTTCCCTTGCTTTGTTAATCATTACTTGCTGTGACTTATATCCAAATCAGACATGCTTGCTTTTTTTCATTTTATATATTGCTATTTTCTAATGTATGAAAGGATAAAATTATAGCATATGTGTTACACATATTATAATACTTTATCTTAATATATTTTCTTGCCGAACATTAAATATGTCGGTTAAGATTCAAAGATCATTCACTTCAGTTTAAAACAATCAACTCATTTCAGTCTTGTTGTTGTTTCTAAACATACCGTTTCTTTTTATTTTATGTTTTTAATACTTCAAATATTTCTTTACTTGTTTATGACCTAATCAGACTCACTAAGCAACTAAAACGTATCATTCAGATTGTTAAATAAACCCTTCATTTTATTGCACAGGTTTATGGAATTTCCTATTATTTGTTCAGTGTTTGTTGTGCAAACAGGAGATCATTAAAAACGCACATCAGCATCATTCAAATAGTTTTTATTTCGCCAGTAAATAAATGATGCAAAAAGAAAAATGAGAAAAATCCAGTATATGAAAGTGCTTTAGACTCACACTGCAAGAATAGCATCCGTTCCAGATCTTCACTGTTCAATGGCAGACATTCACCTCATACTTATTCATTTTCAAATATTCTTGAAGCTTTTAAAGCTCCAGGCAAGAAATCTTGAAAACAGACAGTCATAGTCAGAGCATATGCACCTTCTCAGAAACTTACATTGGACTTGTTGTAACAGCAGTGTGTCACACTACAGGGAACTTGTGTGTTCAGTTTTCTACTGAACCATTTATCAGAAAGTGTATGTGGGCAATAATTGCAGAACTGTCCTCATGTGTCATTCAAATGAATACTGACAACTGTCCAGTTCACCATGAAACCATCACCAGAACATATCTGTGTAAGTATAAAGTGACATATTCTTTTGAGAATAAACCCAAACCCTTACATATTAGTCAGTTTAGATCAATGACGGAAGACACTCTACAAGACAAGAGCGATAACTAGAACACAAACACCACTCCTCCTGGTATGTGATATAGTGGAGTGACAAAAAGGACAGTAAGTGCACATTATTAATACAGTATTAAAATGATAAAAATACTGTTGTGCCACTCAAGAAATCAAATGATCACCCCCATCTCACACATGGAACTATTTCAGTGCAATATAATCAACTTAATAGTGAGTGTTTATCTGTGTATGCAACTTTATTAGAGAAAATTCCATCAACAGATTTCAAAATGTCTTGTTTCACGCTCACTTATTGCATTATACCACTGAATGAAGTGCACACAGACTTTATTACTGGAACATACCATGTGCATCAGAGAAAATGCATAAATTCGCAAACAATAAAGTAGAATTCATAATTTCATGTAGCATTCTCTCGAAAGGTCATTCACACCATTTTTATTCAGTTTCATCATCTTCCACTACAATGAACTGAAATTTCAGCTTTTGAGACTGCATTTCATTTGATGTCATTCAAATTAGCTTTAGAGTAACACAAGCACACAACAAACTCCAACAGTGATTGATAAATGTGAAAATCATAGTGCTTGTCCTATTAAAATATGTATTTACCTAGAGAAATTGATAGAGGAAAACATACAGTCAGGAGAAACATCGATTTTAAATTCCAAAAATGAAAATGCATAAACGTAACAGGATATGACAGCACCCTGTTGTAAAAGGCTCCTAAGCGTAAACGCACGCACGCACACACACACACACACTCGACCTCTCAAACAGGCTTAAGTTATCAATAAATAAAGTGGACAATCAAATAACACAATGTCCTCAAACACTGTTGTACATCTGAATCTTATAAAGAACGGCTTTTCAGTACAATCGAAAGGAACCTTTTCACTATTTCAGTTACCATGTGAAATCAAACACTGGGGATACAAATGAATGACTGTGTTGCATTAAAAACAGACAAAAACAAACAGAATTGACAGAAAATGTCATAGTGGAGATGGACAGTTGAACTGCAGCAATGTTACAGAAATACAGGTGAGGATTTCATTGGGATGTCATCATGTTCCCCTCATTAGATTCAGTGTTTTGGGTTTGGATATGAACGTACAATCAAATCTAGACGTCATCAGCCAGTAAATATGATATTTTTGTTGTTATTTTTTATTGAGAACACACTGGCAGGCTGATATATGGTAACCGTCACTCCAAACACACTGAAAAACTCAATTTTAGACTGACTAGACACGATCACTACAGGAAATCTGTTTGAAAAATAAAAGAGTTAATACTTTTTTTGCACATTTAAATGTTAACAGTTCATTTGATTATAATAAACACAATCAGTAATTGCACAAGCTTTTGTTCATAGATACTCGGTCATAATAGGACAATAATGAGTAAAAAAAAAAGAAAAAAAAAAAGCCCAGACTTCCTGTTTTCCACTAAACGTGGCTACGAGGGTGACCTCGGAAATAGAGGGAAAACAATAATTGCAATAGATCCTACATTATTTGATTTTGAGATCAGCACTCTTGTGCTTCGCTTTGGCAATGTGTGATTAACAAGAACCGCGAGGCGCTAATTAAAGTTAGCACAACCTACTTTTAAAATGACTCTGCCCTACTTTACCTGAGGTTGAAGCAGTACTTGCTTTACTCAGACTCCTGTAACTGTGCTTTACCGCTTGTTTACGCTCAGCCGTGACGGGGCGATGACAATAAATCGTTTTGTGGCTAAAACTCAACAGGTTTGATGAGTAGGCTACATGTTACAGGTCCTTAGTGGGGCCACCTCATCACAAGCTAATCAGTTGGCATCTGTCGCTATTTGTGACCGAAGTGTAGTAAGCACAAAAAAGAAACTGCAACTACGTTACACTGACCTTCTGACTTGGTGTGTAACGTAATGCATGTACACCGGAAAAAAAAACATCACAAACTGAAAGATTTTCTCCACAGACCTTGACCCTTTGTGACATCTGAATGCCAGGATCTCTTTTGCTAGCATTTTAAAGAGTAATGTGTTGCCTAAACTGCTATCAGCCAATCAAATCTTTCATTTGCGATATTTTGACGAAGAAAAAAGTCAAAACAAAACCCGAAGTCGTGAAAAACAACCCAAATAAAGCCATGCTGACATATTGTGACGGAGAGTGTGAAAAGTGCTAATGCTAGTCCTCCATCCCGGCCCGCACTCCTCAGTGACTCCAGTGTCGTCATGCAAGGCCAGGTGTTTGTGGTTGCGATGGTGGGACGGCTCTCACCCCGGGTTGCGCACTGAAGATGGGACACGGCGAGGTCCAGACGGAGGATGTGGGAGTGGGAAAAAACACTCGTAGCACGGCACACACAAACAAGTCCTGGAATGAATGTGACATTCCCACTGACCGCATGCTGCTGGAGATGTACACATACAAAAGGCAAACCGCGCACCATGCATACTGACTACCAATGGCAAAAATAGGATCCTTTTGTCATTTTTCCTATTTTTTCTATCCTCATCCCATGTGTCTTCACTGTAAGGTAAGGCAGGGATTTATTATTTTTTTAAATACATTTTTGTATCTGATGTGTGACTGTCTGTTGTTATAACAAGCTCATGACTACGCCGCCAGACCAGCAGCCTAAGCAGTATCTTCGAGACATCACCATCCTGATCCTCGACAGGTACGCCGTCCTCGAGAACGGTCACGGATCATCTCCGGAGTCGTTTCTGCGTTACGCCATGTAGGTGAAAGTGTTAATGTCCGTTTCGTCTCTCTTGATGTACTTGTGCTCAATGAGCCACTCGATCTGTTCCTTGATCATTTTCTTCTGAGGGAGGAACATATTCTTCAGGATCTCCACCAGCTCGGTCTGCAGCTGAGCGTTTGTGATCTTCTTGCGCATCTTCATGATCTGAATGATGGCCTCCTGAAATGTTGCAGTAGAAGAAACAAAAATGTATTACAGTTTTTCACAATATAAAGTAAGGGAATGAATTGTTAACTATTTAACAGTCTTTTACCATCAAAATTACAAACAAATTTTACTTCGGTTTTTATGCGAACAGTGCACTAATTAGTTTTGTAATTTTTATCGGCATAACTTCTGTAGAGAATTAGTGCAGGCGCGGAACAAGGAAACTTCCTAGCGTGCCAAGGTCCTCTGTTCGCACACATAGCCTACAATCAAATGGAGTAAATTTTGAAAGGCTACACGCATACGCTAAGCATTCGCATCAAAACTGAAGTATACTTTGGGTAAACGTTTGGGAAGTATACTAGTGTTCATGAAAAAAGAGCACTAGTAATGTTTTTTGATGTTTCATACCTGTGTTCTTAATATTCTAAGCTGGACGATGCCTTCGTTCTCCTCTTCTCTCATTCGCTCCGTCGTCAGCTGCAATCGGCCAATTAGGTTTATTTTCCCCCTCTTTTGAACCTTGGTGTTTTTTCTGAGGAGAAACTATTATTATTTCCAAATAAAAGGACCATTTATAAGCAAATGAAAGAGCAAGCAGGAGAGGACATGCTCTTACATTAAGGAGAACTCCTGGTTAACGAAAAACAATGTACTGTCTGTGAAGTCTTTGGGAGAGCTCACTTGAGGTTCATATAACAGCACTTGGCGTTTGAGCTTTGGGAAGGCAACGAGAGACTGTACAAAAAGAGAGGGAAGATGTTACGTAGAAGATGATGGTACAACATCTATAAACAAAGATATTTTAATTGATCAGAATCAGTCAATGTTGGATATTTTTAATTAATCTTTAAAAACACTATGAATTTAATAACACTGTTAATTGTAATCAAATTTTAAAAAAGAATATCCATTTGTCATACTGTACATTATAATGTTGTGATATCTAAATGCACTTGTTGCATTATGATTAATTGTAGTTTAGTGTTTTATTTTGAATTTATTTACACAAAACAGAATAAAATTTTTAGATTGCTCATTTATAAGTTATCGATCACAACATGAAATAATTATCATCTTATAGGTATCTGCCAGAATTTTAATATTATATATATTTAATTTCTGTTAAAAAAAAGAAAACCTTTGCAGCTATGTCAGTAATAAAGCTTGTCAAAAGTACCGACTTCGGTACCAGAGCGGATTCTTAAACACCTCTGATTGGCCATTGTGTTCAATTGGCCATTGGCTACAATGATCAGCGCTTCACGCTTTTCACCGTCTTATTAGCGGATTCCTAATAGATTATCCCTGCTCATAGGCTTTCAAACGCTCCTGTGTGTATCTGTGTAAGCGTTCGGTGAAGAGCGTGACACGATGATCATCGTAGCCAATCACAGCCATATCTGTTAAGCACGTGAACACAGTGGCCAATCAGAGGTGTTTAAGAATCCCCTCAACAGCGATCAAAATGCTAGCGGGAAATGCAGGTATTGTCACATATTTAAAATGTTAAAGTCTGTACTTTTGACAACCCTACAGTACAGCAGAAATATAATAAATATCTAATGGAATAAAATGCGACATATCCAGTCACGATCTTACCCAGAGAGTTCGTCTCAGTTCAGCATCAGGCAGCTCAGTGGCAAGTTTCAGGTTCTCAAAACTGATCTTCTCTCGTGGTCTTTGGTTCCAGGCAAAAAGTACAGCCAGCTGAAAGGTCGTGACCTCCAGGTCGTACTGCCCTACTTCATTCTTGAAAGTGATCTACCGGAGAGCACACAGACTGATTAGATGCAAGTTGCATTTAAAGCTACTACAAATCACTACTAAGCACTAAACTTAGTGCATAAAATAAACCCACAATGCCATTGGACATGAGGTGGTGCCAGTGGAGTTTTCGGCCGCTGTGGTTCTTCTTGTAGAAGTCTTCCACCTCAGGAATGAGGTCTTCCAGCTCGGTGGGCAGAGACACGAACACTTTCTCTGAGCTGCGTGACCACGCTCCAGCATTCAAGATCTTTATGTTCACAGAGTCCGCTGGGTAACAGAAGGGGTGTGAAGAGACCACTTTTGATATAGTTAATGCATCCTTGCTGAATATAAATATGAATGTCTTTCAAACCCAGGTGAAAGGTAGTGTAAATGCATATATAGAGAGACAAATGGGCTTGTAAGGCACCTGGTAAAGCCAGCTTGTTGTGTTTGTGTACTTCCTTGAAAACCTGGTTAAGATCTTCGGACACTTTGATGTCCTGGAACATTCTAGCTAGCTTGTTCACATAGTCAGCAGGCATCCCAACTTCCTGAAACACATCAGAAAGAAGCAAACAGTGAGCCATTTGAGTATAAAACACTTGAATTGAATTTCAGTCACTCTTATTTCTCTTTTATTCTTACCCTGAGCCACTCAACCATGTTCTCCTCAATCTCACTGTCCGCTGAGATGTCCAGGATCAGACGTCTGGTCAGGTGGGCTTTGTGGTACCTCATGAACACATCCTTATTCTGGACGTATTTCAGCACAAGTAGCTATAGAAAAAAAATAGTAGTATTTACATTTCAAAACACTTGAGGACAACAACACAAGCACCGAGTCAACAACATGTGACTTTTTACAACAGCCCCTCACCACTTCCTTCAGTTTGAGCTCGATCTCCTCTGAGGTCAGCTTTTTGCTGAGTGGCGTCTTTCTTAGCAGCATGTCACAATAGTTAGCCAGCAGCTCCGGACACTTTGATTCTGGTTGTGTTTTTAGGCCCACTCTGCATTTAGAAACATCAAACACAACTGATACAAGTTGATACAATACATAAATATGGATCGCTAATGCTCACTAGCAGGATGATTATATTTAATACTAAGACCATAAAATAATTTTTGTTACTGGAAATAAAATAAACTTTAACTTAAATAAAATATGAAAAAACTCACTTATTTTATTTTAGCTAGTTGCCACAGCAACTTTTCTCATTTTCATTTAGTTTATTGCGATGTACTAAAATAACTAAAACTAAAATAAAAATTAACTTAAATAAAAATGGAATAATGAAAACCATACAGAAATTACAAACCATATAAAAATGACAAAAAATTTAAAATAATCAAAAAATACTAAAACTTTAACTAAAATTAAGATGAAAACACAAAACATAAAAATAAAAACCAATTCAAAATATTAATAAAAACTATATTATCTAAATGATACTAAATTAAAACAGCTCACTTACAAAGGGGCCCTTTTTCACAAACTGTGAAAATGTGATTCCACAATTAATATTGTAAATCTAATGTTTTATTATTCTTTCCATTTAAAAAAATGTAATGTACATTCATAACAATACACTGTGTGTTATATTTCCTTGGCATTCAATTACAGAAAGCTGGTTTGTTCTGCTTCAAGAGTATTTCTAATACAACGGCTGAGGGAGTGACAGCAAATTTGATATCTCTCTCTCTCTTTTGACCAACCTATTTTGTTAAGTCATAGATTTTTGTAAAGTAAACCTCTCCACTATAGAGGTTTACTCAACTACGACTTCAGCTTCTTTGAGTTGCCTGTAAATGTGTCTATCAGTTAAGTAGAAAGAAGGTTATTCTGTGCATCTCACTTCAATGGACTGTCATCAGAAGCCCAGAAGGCAGCCGTTACTCACCCCTTCTGTTTCATTGGCAGCTCCAACTTAAATATTGTGGCATCATTCACAACTGCTTTGTATGCCTGTGGGGAAATTTAAAGGGGGTCATATGATGCGATTTCAAGTTTTCCTTTCTCTTTGGAGTGTTACAAGCTGATTGTGCATAGATACGATCCCTGAAGTTGCAAAGACTAAAGTCTCAAAACCAAAGAGATATTCTTTATCAAATTTAAGACTCTGCCACGCCCCCCTAAAACGGCTCGTTCTAACACGCCCCCACATATCTACCTCACTATGTGGAAAAATTAGCATAATGCCGCCCAAATATTCATGCAAAGAAAGAAAGCGTGGTTTCAGTAACCGCAGTTAGTGTTGAAGCTGCATGTCAGGGAGACGCTGTGTGTTTCAGTGCGAAAGCAAAAGCACTTTATTTGGCCTTCCGAAAGTAGATGCATTTAGGAATCTTTAAGATTACTTACTACAGAACAACAATGCATTTTATGGACGACCGTTTTGTGAAATTAGGAGAGGAGGTAATTCTGACTTTGCTGTGACAATCAGCTACTGTTTTGTTATTAGTTTAAGTATTTGCTATTGACTGTTCAAATGCGGAGTTTTGCGCATCGTGTGTGGGTGTGTGTGCGTGAGGGAGAGAGAGAGAGAGAGCGGTGTGTGTGTGTGCGCGCGCGAGAGAGAGAGAGCGGTGTGTGTGTGTGCGCGAGCGAGCGAGCAAGAGAGAGAGAGAGAGAGACACATCACAGTGGAGTCAGCTGTCTTAACCGTGGCTTGTGTACTGCAAACACATACCAGCTTCATCACTGTGTC